GACTGAGAATCTCCACAGACATTTATTAAAGTAGCTTCCTCAGTCTAAGTATGTTGGTCAGGAGGAACCTCCAGGGTGGTGAATCTCATTAAGCGTGACTTCCCTGGTGAATCTCTGAAGAGGTCTTGGTCTTCTTGGAGCAGCATTAAAAAAAAATGGAGGACAGGTTCTGTCTGGGGCTCCACCCTTATTGAGGGAAAAATTATTGAGGAAAGGATTTTCCACTGTAGCATAAATAGATTTCCTCACGCCTCTCTCAAACCATCTATTTTCCCTGTCCAAAATGTGAACATTATTGTTGTCAAAAGAGTCCCCTTTTTAACTGAAGGTATAATGCTGACTGATCCTGTGGGGTTACTTCTCCTGTGCTCCTGTGCAAAAGCTACTTGGATAGCTTCTTCACAGTTAAGAAGAAAAGATCACTAGTTGCCATGACTCCACTTCCAGACAACTCTATCTGTATGACTGAGCATCTTCATCAACATTATAGTCATAAGTTGAGGACTACCTGTACTTATGAGAATCTCTAGTACTAGGAATAGGAAGCACTCTGGTCACTACAAAGTCAGAAGACCGCAAAATGGATGCAGTATCTACTGAAATATGGAAAGAAACAGAAGGGTGCAGCTTCCTACCGTCAAAGAAAGGAAATTTAACACAGTCTGCCAACTATTGTACAACATCCTTAATTTCACATACTAGCATAACTAGTCCTACCCAGGGTATTCTGGGAGTTGAAGTCCACACATGTTAAAATGACTAAGGTTAAGAAACATTGGTTTAGAACAGGGGTGTCAAACTTGTGGGCCGCGGGCTGGATGCATCACATGCTGGCCCACTCCCATTTTAGCTGGCCCACTCCCATTTTAGAAAAGCTATGCTGATGTCACTGTTGGATAACTAAACATGCAAATAATTAGCAACTCTTGTAAGGAAAGTCGAAGAACTCAGTGGGAAAAAAATGGGACTAAGGTTAAATATAAAAAAGACCAAACCAATAACAACAAATATAGCAACCTATCTTAAAATAAATAGTGAAGATAGAGAAGGAGTGGAAAATCTCTTCCTTTTAGGATTAGTTATCAACAGTAAAGGAACCAGTAGCCAAGAAATGCATCAGAGACTAGTACTTGGTAGAATTGGATTAACGACCTTATAAAATAAATTCAGATGCTCTAATGCAATATTTCTCAACCTTGGCAACTTGAAGATGTGTCCAAGTTTCCAAAGTTGAGAAACAATGCATAATGAGTCTATATCAAAAACAGAATCATACAAATCATAGCTTTTCTTGTGATATTCTATGGAAGTGAAAATTGAATAGCAGGATACAATAGAAAGAATACTGATGCTTTTCAGTTTTGGTCAAAAGTTGGAGAAGACTCTTGTGCCTACAGTGGACAGCCAAGAAAACAAACAGATCATTGAACAAATCAACCCAAGTTTTCACTCAAGGCACATATGACAAGGTTCGAATTATCCTGCTTCAGACACATTATGCCAAGACCTAGCTCTCTGGAGAAGCCTCAAGTGCTGAGAATGTTTGTGCACTTATCTAACATCTCCTGGCTAGGATCAATACTCAATAAATCTTACATCAAGCTCCAAATTTAGTTCCTCACCTCCCAATCCATTTTCAGGTTACTGCCTTAATTCCTCCAAGAAATTGGTTGACATGATTGCTCAACAGAGTTGACCCAGATTGCAATTATGTGTTGAAAAACTGAGTTTGACTGCTTCTGGTTTCAAGAAAACTCTTCACTGACTGAAACAAGATAAGATAAAGATGTAATGCAGTAATAAGTGGGAAGAAAATGGGAAGGAAGATCCATAAAAACCCAAATATTCCCATTTCTGTTGACAATAAAATATTAAATAACTGGCACAGAGGAAAAAATAAATTACATATGAGCTAACAAAAGGCCAAGGATTACTTACATTCAAGAACTTGCAAATTCAAAAGACGGAGGTGCCCACAAACTTCAAATTCTACTTTCATGCTAGTTGCCCAATCTGAATTCCAGAATGGATCATATTTCCTTATCGTTCTATCACCTGAGTAAAAGAGGCAGAAGCTTTCCAAGGGTTACTTAAATAAATTTGGGTTATATTCATAGATGTAAACTGTTTTCAACATGCAATGCATTGTATCCAGTCCTCAATTTATTAAACAAATGGTTGCAAGTTGAGGGCTGCTCAATGCACTCTGGGGAGCTTACAACAGAGCGAACTAAATTAAAACAATCAAAAACATAAACAAAAGCAACTTATTGAAGGCTTGAGATAATTGTAGGAAAAGAAATAAACCCAGATCTTTCCCCTCTTACTTCCTTACTGAATATCTACTTTTATGACGCAGAAAGCACTAAATGTTTTTGCTCAGCGAAGAGTCCATAATCTGTAAAGATTTTATCATTAAGAGGACAAAATCAAGATCTTCTCATTCTTTTCTTATTCAATACGCTCAGAAAAGCCACAGAGCCACCAGAAAATCATGGAGAACAAGGGGGAAATTTGTCTGAATTTGAAAATCACATAACTCATCATAGTGAACTGTTGCTTGGCATGATTTATAACTTATTAGTGAAACATAACTCAGAACCTCAACGAGTCATATACTTATTGTGTTGGTGGAGAAAATAAATGTCGTGAATTAAATGGAGGTTGCACTCTTTTCCCCCCTGTGTTTTGGACATGGCTGGAGTCAATCCCTGCTTCTCTATTTCCTTAACCCTACCAGATCTTCCCTGCCCCCCGATAAACCCTCAATGCAACCACATCATCTAGACCAGTGATGGCTAACCTTTTCATCATCACGTGCCAAAAGTGCATGCGTGCGTGCCTGCACCCATAATGCAATGCATGTGTGACCTCTGCCCCCCCCGTGCATGCGTGTGTGACCCTGCCCATGTGCACCGTGTGCCTCTGCGCATGTGCGCTCATCTCCTGCGCACGCCCTGCCCCCTGCGCATGCACGGCAGATACATGACAATCAGCTGGCTGGCAGGAGGCGCGCGCGCATGTGCAGTGGATCAGTGGGCGATAGCTTGTGTGCCGGCAGAAATAGCTTTGCATGCCACTTCTGGCACGTGTGCCATCACAGATGTAGACCAAAGAATAGAAACCTCATCACCAGAACACAGAACAGCACAAGAGTAACCCTTATAAAGATTGGGATATCTCATATCATTGGGATATCTCTAGGAAATTGCAACCCAACCTTTCATCCTCAACCAGGGACTTGCTCCTGATTATTATTATTATTTATATATTTATTAAATGTATTACCTCCACATTCTATCTTCTTAATGTTTTCCCAGCTGTGCTGCCCTCTAAAAGGGCTGTTTTGCCTAACTACAGAAATAAACCTGGGTGCATGGACAATGACTTACCTAATTTCTCCAAAAGTTGCAAGCCAATCAGATTTTAGAATTCTCACTGTGTGGCTTCCAGCTTCTATAAAAATCTTTGCTTTGTCATTGTTCCAAGTCCCTCTTTCTTGCAAAGCAGGGACCCCTCCCTGTGCAATAAACATAGTTGCTTCTTTGCATGTGCTTTGCATTTCAGAATTTTCTGTGACATTGCATGATTACATGGATGCAAAATTAGAACACAGTATCTTTATAAAGCCTTGGTAAGATCACAGGTGGAATACTGCATCTGGCTTTGGTTGCCACAATGTTGGAAAGATGTTAGTGCTCTGGAAAGAGTACAGTGAAGAGCAACAAAGATGATTGGAGGACTGGATGCTAAAACATATAAAGAACATTTGCAGGAACTGGATATGGCTAGTCTAGAGAAAAGGACTCGAGCAGAGGTACCCAAACTTGGCAACTTTAAGACTTGTGGACTTCAATTCCCATAAGTCTCCAGCCAGCATAGCTGGCTGGTGCATTCTTGAAGCTGAAGTCCACAAGTCTTAAAGTTGCTACGTTTGGGGACCTCTGGACTAGAGGGTGACATGATTGCAGTATTCCGTGGGGCTGTCCCAAAAAAGAGGGGGTCTCTAAGTACCTGAAGGCAGAACAAGATGGAAACTAATCAAGGAGAGAACTCAGAGCGGAATGGAGCCCATTAGATGGCTTGTATGAATGTGTGTTGGCACCAGGGAGGGGTCAGATGGAGGATTATTATTTTATTATTTTTCTTTTGACAAGCAAAGTCAGTGGGGCAGGCCAGATTTGATTAATGATTGCATGATTCAGATAACAACTCCAGCGATTCTTTTAATGACTGTGATAAAAGGTTGTAAAATAGAGCAAGACTCAATTATCTTGCTTAGCATTGGGAATTTTGGGCTCAAATGTGGTCGTAAGACTACCTTACGAGCTGTGGTGGCGCAATGGTTAGAATCCAGTACTGGAAGCTACTTCTGCTGACTGCTGGCTGACTGCAGTTTGGCAGTTTGAGTCTTACTGGCTCAAGGTTAACTCAGTCTACCATCTTCCTGAGGTGGGTAAAATGAGGAGCCAGATTGTTGGGGGCAATAGGCTGACTCTATAAACCGCTTAGAGAGGGCTGCAAAGCACCGTGAAGCGGTATATAAGTCCAAGTGCTATTGCTATCTGTAATTGGGCAAGTTTTATATAGCCCTTTAACCTGTCTCAATCTATCTACTCCAGAGTTGCTTAGTTTAGGCATCGGTATCTTTTAGTAGGGAAACAATATCCTGGAAATAACTTGTTAGTGGTATAAGGATTATATGCTTTTTTATTGGAAAAGATTTCTGGTGGCCTCTATGGAGCAATGATTAATCATTTTGAAACTTGCTGGGGGTTTCGCCTCTTTGGCCAGCCTCAGCAGGCACAGAGTGTTGCAATTTGGGGGGGGGGGGGGGACCACTAAAAAGTTCTTGTCTTGTAGTCACCAGGACACTAGGACGAGCCTCTAAGCTGCTAGCCTTGTTCGGAGGAGGAGGAGGAGGAGGAGGAGGAACCACCCTTAAGTTATGATAAGAGGAAGACGTGCAAGAGACGATAACAGCTTTTGAGACATATTACTTATGTTTCCTTGATGCGCTTCAGATGTACAGATGCAGAGCTGATGCTTGGTGAGCAATCAAGACTTGTCGTGTGGTAAGACGGAAATCTCTTCCCTCTGCTAACTCCTTGCCCCTGCCAGTTTGAATCCCACACCTGGAAACCTGGGATTGGTTCTCTGGGTGCTGTGACTCATCTCCACCTGCGATTTCGTTTGTCCATTTCTGGTCCCTCTGCTCAATCTCTTCCCTGTTTATACGAGGGTTTGCATTTCTCTGTACTTGCGAATGACTCACCTTCTGAATTTGCGGCTCTGAGAAACACAGGAAGTTGGCCAAAATGAACAAATGACTTGGGTTTTGTGTCACTTTTATGCAGTTGCCTAACTTTTTGTTTTTGGACAGAAAAGGTGAGGCACAGCCATTTCTGGGGCCTGCTCAGAGGTACGCTTTCGTCCTTTGGATAAATCAAGAGAGGGCAAAATAAGAAAAGAAAAAAAGACGGTACTTTTTTCAACCCAAAATACTTTATCCAAGTCTTCAGCCTCAGATTGGTCCCACAGAGCTGATGTTACAGAAATGGGTGGAATTGACATGATTGCCACCACTCAAAGCCACTTCCTCTATGAATATAACGTTTGCTTCTTCTTTTTCTACATTTTCCAGCAGCGCCACCTGCTCAGTTTCATTCACTTCTTCCTGCCCAATCAAGCGAGAACGGGGGAAACAGAGGCAGCTGATGGTTAGTAGACAAGAACTGTTCCTTGAAAACCCCAGGACCTATCCTGACCTTGTCTGAAGAAACCTAGAAGAAGGTATAGCAGATGGGTTGGTGGGGCAGCAGGTGTGGGTGGGATGCACCTTATTTATTCAGTCTCCACAAAATGGTTTGCGTGTGGGAAATATCAGTAGGAAATTGTTTCAGGGAGTCAAGATAAAGGAGGTGAGCATATTAGACTGAGTATGGTTTTGTTGTACTTCAATCAAATGCTTGATCGCCAAATGTAGTTGGATATCTATGCCTCAATTTTTTGATTCGCAACAACACTGCAAAGTGTATTAGGGTTCTGATCTGGCAGAGTGGATGATGTGGAATGTAAGTATCAACCAAGGGAGGCTTTCCCCAATTAACTGGGCTCTGAGTCCCATCATCTAGACCAGGCTGACACAGTCTGGAGAACACTAGTTTGAGGGCAAAATTTCCCCACATCATATCGAAAAGAGGAGAAGTTAGTGGGTTGAGAAAAAAATTTGAAAATGCAGATCATAAGCCACACTTTTGATCTCTCTTAATCCTCCAGAAATCAGCTTCATTAGAAGGGAAGTTGAGTCAAGGTCAAAATGAATGTGTTGGCCAGAACACATGGTGTATGGTAGGGAGGTGGAAATAAAGATGACATTTGACTTCACAAAGTAAATATTTTTGGACTGATAAGTGCTGTCATCCAGACCATCTTACAGATCTCTTCTCTGTTCTTCATCTGTTCTTCATCTTGAGCCTTTGGCAGATGTATCCCCTGCCCAAATCCTAACCCTAAAACTCACTAATGATTGTGCAGTGAATTGCGCATCTGATGGGGTTTGGGTTTCCATGCAGCAAAGAGCAGAGCCACCACAAGGAAGGCGTCAACCCACGATAGTGTTTATAACGATTTCCTCACCTCGAGTCTTTCAGCAAGACTAGATTTTTACTTGAATCATTTCCGGCCAGCCATGCCACAGTAGCACCACTAGATTCTCTCTGCCAAAATAGAGAGCAAAGGACATAGCTCTGTCTATTGCATGTGAAAAAAAAATGGAGCAGTTAATACTGAAACAGAAATTATCAACGGCTTTCCTTAAAAACTCTGACAGCTGAGCTCACTTACTTTAGTGGGACTGATTATCTTGCTTCTCTGAGTTTTTGATTTCCAAATGCAATGTTTCCCAACCTCCACTAGTTTAAGAGGTGTGGACTTCAATTCCCAGCATGCTGGCTGGGGGATTCTGGGACTTGGAAGTTCATAGATCTTTTAGTTGTTGAGTTTGAGAAACATCCTAATTGTCTGCATTTCCTCACAAGACTTGTACTTTTCAAGCTTGAAATCCCGATTACTCTGGATCCCAGCTTTTATTGATGGAACAGCTCCAGTTGGGTCACCTAGCATCTTCCCTGTTGATCAAGAACCGTGCCACAATATGATAGCCTAGCCCGTCACCCTGTCATCAAATCTAAGTTGCAGAAGTAACAATGCCCCCCCTGGCTTCTGGGGCTTGTAGGACATCCCTTCTGCTGAGCAGGTCAGGCTAGTTCTCAAACCTGACATTTAAAACAAGTGGTGATGTCTGTAGAGATTCTCAGTCATCCAGGTCATGGTTATCCCAAAGGTGCTTTTCCAGGATGCTACTGGACTTTCTGGTTTTACTTTGAAGATGTTTCACTCCCCATCCAAGAGGCTTCTTCAGCTCTGACTGGATGGTGGGGGAATGCAAGGATTTATATTCCTTGCAAGAAAAAGTACTGGCCTTGATGCAAATGCTAGTCTTGCAGGGTTTAGAGGAGTTATCAAAAGCTTTTCTTCTTCACAACACAATATTTTATTTTAGAAACTCTCTAAGTGCTCCAGATATGTTGTTTCTGTTCTAGATTTGTCTTTCATTAACCAAATACACTTGTCTTATTTAACTTTAATGATCTATTGCTATCAAAACAGCACTGGCATGGAATGTATTGCGAGGTGCGATTATGGAGTTTTTTTTAATGACCTTGATAAAAGTGGGGAGGGGGGGTGAAGGCTGCCCTAAGAACATAAAAAGGCATCAGTAACCATCCAGACTGGGATCTTGGGGGGGGGGGAGGGGGGAACGGACGACAACTCCCGTTTGATGATGAGCAAATTTGAAGTATAATACTTAATATTTCTTTAAAAAAAATTAAACTCCCACTTCGACAGATGTCTTAGAAATAGACAGATGTCTTTTCAACATACTAGGAGCAAGCAAAGAGGAGAGTGTCTTGAGAAAGATAAACAGTTGCAACACTAGAAAGTTGCTTTTAAGTTTTTGTTTCCTTGTAATCTTGCCAAACATCTTTATTAAGTGTATGAACAATTGAAAGTTTGCACTCCCCTAGTTTTTAACTAAAGTTGAAGATTTCCTGTGGATTTATTTTTTGGCCCAGCTTTCTATTGTACTTGCTTAAAATAAATTTCTCCCTCTCTTTCCCCCTATCCTTCTCCCTTTCTCTCTCCCCTCTCCCTCTCT